AAGAAGAGCAACGGCAACCAGGACACCTTCCGCCCGCGGCATGATCTTCCGCTTCGTGGCTTTGCAGGGAAATCTGGCAGCTGGGTGCAAAGCAAGGAGCAGAAACAGAGCTACAGAGCCATGGGATCCTAAATCTTGAAGGGATCCCCAAAGGTCATCCAGTCCAGCCCCCTTCTGACAGGCAGAAAGGCACCATCCGACCCTTCCCAACAGATGACCATGCAGTCTCATGAACATTAAGAGAAATGACTATAGAATCATAGACTCCTTGACAGGACCCTCAAAGGTCATCCAGTCCAGCCCCTTCTGCCAGGCAGAAAGGCACCATCCGATCCCTCCCGACAGATGGCCATGCAGTCTCATGAACATTAAGAGAGATGTCTATAGAATCATAGACTCCTTGAAGGGACCCCCAAAGGTCATCCAGTCCAGCCCCCTTCTGCCAGGCAGAAAGGCACCATCCGATCCCTCTCGACAGATGGCCATCCAGTCTCATGAACATTAAGAGAAACGACTACAGAATCATAGACTCCTTGAAGGGTCCTCCAAAGGTCATCCAGTCCGGCCCCTTCTGCTAGGCACAAAAGCACCATCCGATCCCTCCTGATAGATGGCCATCCAGTCTTATGAACACGAAGAGAAATGACTATAGAATCATAGAATCCTTGACAGGACCCTCAAAGGTCATCCAGTCCAACCCCTTCTGCCAGGCAGAAAGGCACCATCCGATCCCTCCCAACAGATGGCCATGCAGTCTCATGAACATTAAGAGAGATGTCTATAGAATCATAGACTCCTTGAAGGAACCCCCGAAGGTCATCCAGTCCAGCCCCCTTCTGCCAGGCAGAAAGGCACCATCCAATCCCTCCCAACAGATGACCATGCAGTCTTATGAACACTAAGAGAAACGACTATAGAATCATATACTCCTTGAAGGGACCCCAAAAGGTCATCCAGTCCAGCCCTCTTTTGTCACGGAAGACCATCTGATCCCTCCCAACAGATGGCCATCCAGTCATAGATATGACTGATGCACACACACACAGATGATAGATAGGCAGATATTATTGAGATAGATATATGGTGTATCATAGAATCATGGAGTCAGCAAGGATCCCCAAAGGCCATCCAGTCCACCTCCCTTCTGTCAGGTAGGAAGGCACCATCCGCTTCATGGGTTTGCTAACCATCCGATCCCTCCCAACAGATGGCCATCCAATCATAAATATGATTGACATAGAGAGATGATAGGTAGATATTATTTAGATAGATATATGGTGTATCATAGAATCATGGGGTTAGCAGGGATCCCCATAGACCATCCAGTCCACCTCCCTACTGCCAGGTAGGAAGGCACCATCCGATCCCTCCTGACAGATGTCCATCCAATCAAAAATATGATTGACAGAGAGAGAGAGTTGAGAGATAGGCAGATATTATTGAGATAGATATATGGTGTATCATAGAATGATGGAGTTAGCAGGGATCCCCAAAGGCCATCCAGTCCACCTCCCTACTGCCAGGTAGGAAGGCACCATCCGATCCCTCCTGACAGATGGCCATCCAGTATCAGGAGCATTAAGAGAAATGACTATAGAATAATACACTCACTGAAGGAACCCCCAAGGCCACCCAGTCCAACCCTGCTCTGCCATGGAAGAAGACACCACCTGATCCCTCCTGACAGATGGCCATCCAGTCATACAGATGATTGACAGAGAGAGAGATGATAGATAGGCAGATGTTATTGAGATAGATATATGGTGTATCATAAAATCATGGAATTAGCAGGGATCCCCAAAGGCCATCCAGTCCACCATCCGATCCCTCCTGACAGATGGGCATCCAATCATAGATATGATTGACAGAGACAGAAAGATGATATATAGGCAGATATTGAGATAGATATATGGTGTATCATAGAATCATGGAGTCAGCAGGGATCCCCAAAGGCCATCCAGTCCACCTCCCTTCTGTCATGGAAGAAGACACCATCTGATCCCTCCCGACAGATGGCCATCCAGGCTTGTAAACACTGGAAGGAGAAACAGGGCTGTAGAAGGGATCCCCACTATATATCATCCCTTAATAATTTGTATTTCCCTTAAAGAATTGTCCACATTTTAAGGATTTCCATAAGAGACAGAGGAACGCTTTGAGTGGAGTGGTGAGCCTGGCTGGTGGACGAAATCCAGCCCCAAACAGAGTAGGATCCGGTTGAATCAAAGGCATTGCACTAGGTCACCAAGTTTGAAAAATATCCTGTATTCTGGAAACGACATTGATAACCCAGAAACAAAAACTGTGTTATAGTTTGTTGGCAATGCATAGAGATAGCCCTGCAAGGCCACCACGGAGTAACTCTCAGGATTTCACAGAGAGCCATAAATCCGGCGCATGGGGACACCTTGTGGTTGACACACTTTGCACAACACTCCTTCTCCAAAATTATACCATTATTATTATTATTATATTTGTGTATATCCCACTGTTATCTCTAGATGGAGATGCAAATTATTATTATTATTATTATTATTATTATTATTATTAATAATAATAATAATAATAATATATTTGTTTGTATTCCCATTTTAATCTCTAGATGTAGCTGCAAAATTATACTACTATTATTATATATTATATTATAAATTATACTATTATTATTATTATATTTGTGTATATCCCACTGTTATCTCTAGATGGAGATGCAAATTATTATTATTATTATTATTAATAATAATAATAATAATAATAATATATTTGTTTGTATTCCCATTTTAATCTCTAGATGTAGCTGCAAAATTATACTATTATTATTATATATTATATTATAAATTATACTATTGTTATTATTATTATTACTATTATTATTATTAATACTAATATATTTGTTTGTATTCCCATTTTAATCTCTAGATAAATATGCAAAATTATACTATTATTATTATAAATTATATTATATAAATTATTCTATTATTATATATTATTATTATTAAGTTGCAAATATTATATTTGTTTATATTCCCATTTTAATCTCTAGAGGAATATGCATAATTATACTATTATTATATATTATATTATAAATTATACTATTATTATTCTATATTATATTGTAAATATAATAAATAATTTATAATTATTATATTATAAATTATACTATTATTATACTATCAATTTTAATCTTTAGATGAATATGCAAAATTATACTATTATATATTATATTATAAATTATACTATTATTATTAATATATTCATTTGTATTCCCATTTTAATCTCTATATAAATATGCAAAATTATACTATTATTATAATAAATTATATTATATTATAAATTATTCTATTATTATTATTATTAAGTTGCAAATATTATATTTGTTTGTATTCCCATTTTAATCTCTAGATGAATATGCAAAATTATACTATTATTATTATAATATATTATATTATAAATTATACTATTATTATTATTATTAATAATAATATATTCGTTTCTATTCCCATTTTAATCTCTAGATGAATATGCAAAATTATGCTATTATTATATATTATATTATAAATTATACTATTATTATTATTATTATTATTAATAGATTCATTTGTATTTTAATCTCTAGATGAATATGCAAAATTATACTATTATTATATATTATAAATTATACTATTATTATTATATAGTATATTATAAATTATACTACTATTATTATTATTAATATATTCGTTTGTATTCCCATTTTAATCTCTAGATAAATATGCAAAATTATACTATTATTATTATATATTAAATTATAAATTATACTACTATTATTAATAATAATAATATATTCGTTTGTATTCCCATTTTAATCTCTAGATGGATATGCAAAATTATACTATTATTATATATTATATTATAAATTATACTATTATTATTATATATTATATTATAAATTATACTACTATTATTATTAATATATTTGTTTGTATTCCCATTTTAATCTCTAGATATGCAAAATTATACTATTATTATTATAGTTGTGTACATCTCACTGTTATCTCTAGATGGAGATTCAAATTATTATTATTATTATTATTAATAATAATATATTTGTTTGTATTCCCATTTTAATCTCTAGATGAATATGCAAAATTGTACTATTATTATATATTATAAATTATACTATTATTATTATACATTATATTATAAATCATACTATTATTATATATTATGTTATAAATTATACTATTGTTATTATTATTATTATTATTAAGTTGCAAATATTATATTTGTTTGTATTCCCATTTTAATCTCTAGATGGATATGCAAAATTATACTATTATTATATTTGTGTATATCCCACTGTTATCTCTAGGTGGAAATGCAAATTATTATTATTATTATTATTATTAATACTTTAATTAATTACTTTAATTAATAAAATTAAATAAATTAATAAAATTACTTTAATTAATACAATTTGATATCATTATTATTTATCTTTTTTATAATATATACAATATCACTGTATATACTGTATATATACTATATTATATAAATAACATATATTATTTATAATAATATAAATAAATAAATAAATAAATAATAATAATATATTCGTTTGTATTCCCATTTTAATCTCTAGATGTAGCTGCAAAATTATACTATTATTATATATTATATTATAAGTTATATTATTATTATTATATATTATACTATAAATTATACTCTTATTATTATATATTATATTATATTATAAATTATACTATTATTATTATTTATATATTTGTTTATATTCCCATTTTAATCTCTAGATTAATATACAAAATTATACTATTATTATATATTAAATGATAAATTATATTATTATTATTATTATTATTATTATTATTATTAAGTTGCCAAAGTTTCTCCAAGAGACTCAGGAGTGCCTGCCCCTCCCTCCTTCCCTTAGGTGGGCGGTGCTTCTTCTGGCCCCGCCCCTTGCTCTGGCCCCGCCCCCTGGGTCTAGCTCCGCCCCCCGACTTCCGCCTCTCCTCAGCCCGCCGCATCCTCCGCCGCCGTCCGCTCCGCCATGGCGCTTCTCCTCCCGGCCTCCCGCCTCGCCGCCCTCCCGCCTCGCTTGGCCTCCTGCTCCGCCCGAGCCAGGTAAGCCGACACGGAGGGTTCCCCTCACGTCGGAACACGCCACTCCGGAGTTCAGGATGGGCCAAACTCAGCCGCCAACGCGACTTCACGCGGTTTGTCCCTTCGCGCGGCCCGTTGCGCCCGGCCTCCATTCGAGGGGCGGGGAGGGAGTGCGAAGAGCGCTCTCGCCATTGGTCGCTTCTGAGAGGCGGGACGGCGAATGCCTCTCCTGATTGGTCGGCGCCATTAGAGGGGATTCAAGGGGTTGCCCTTGGAAGGGGCTTGGAGGGCGCGTCCAAAGGGGAAGGGCTGAGCTGCCCCGCACCACACGTCCGGCTCCCTTTGGACAGCAGTGTCTCTTTCCTAAGACATCATTGATATAATTTGTTATATTCATATATAATAATTACTTTAATTAATACAATTTGATATCATTATTATTTATCTCTTTTATAATATATACAATATCACTGTATATACTGTATATATACTATATTATATAAATAACATATATTATTTATAATAATATAAATAAATATATTATTTATCTCTATTAAAATATATATTTTATTTCCGTATATACTATATAGAGATATTAATAATAACCTAAATAATATATATTATTTATCTCTTCTCAAAAACTTACTATTATTATATATAATAATATATAGTAGTATGTACCGTCATATATCATATTATTTATACATATAATATATTATTATTATTATATAATTTATCTCTTTCCAAAGACTTATTATTAATATATATATATATATATTATAATAACGTAAATAATATATATTATTTATCTCTTTTCAAAAACTTACTATTATTATATATAATAATATATAGTAGTATGTATCGTCATATATCATATTATTTATATATATAATACATTATTATTATTATATAATTTATCTCTTTCCAAAGACTTATTATTAATATATATATATATATATATATATAATAATAACGTAAATAATATATATTATTTATCTCTTTTCAAAAACTTACTCTTATTATATATAATAATATATAGTAGTATGTACCGTCATATATCATATTATTTATATATATAATATATTATTATTATTATATAATTTATCTCTTTCCAAAGACTTATTATTTATATATATATATATATATATATATATATATATATATATATATTATAATAACGTAAATAATATATATTATTTATCTCTTTTCAAAAACTTACTCTTATTATGTATAATAATATATAGTAGTATATACTGTTATTTATCATATTATTAATGTATATAATAATATATTATTATTATATTTGTCTCTTTCTAAAGACTTAATATATATATATATTATAACATTAATAATATATATTATATATCTCTTCAAAGTTACTCTTATTATATATAATAATATATAGTAGAATATAATTTGTCTGTTTTCAAAGACTTATTAATATATATATATTATATAAATAATATATATTATTTATCTCTTTGCAAAAACTTACTCTTATTATATATAATATATAGTAGTATATACCGTTATTTATCATATTATTTATATATATAATAATATATTATTATTATATAATTTGTTTCTTTCCAAACACACACATATATATATAATATAAATAATATATATTATTTATCTCTTTTCAAAAACTTACTCTTATTATATATAATAATAGTATATACCGTTATTTATCATATTATTAATGTATATAATAATATATTATTATATAATTGGTCTCTTTCCAAAGAGATATATATATATATATATATATATATATATATATATATATAATAACATAAATCATTTATATTATATATCTCTTCAAAAACTTACTATTATTATATATAATAAATTATTATATAATTGGTCTCTTTCCAAAGACTTGTGTGTGTGTATATATATATATATATATATAATCTTTTCAAAAAGTTACTCTTATTATATATAATAATATATAGTATATATATAGTAGTATATACTGTATATACTGATAAAAATATATTAGTAATGTATATAATAATATATTATTATTATATAATTTGTGTCTTTCCAAAAACTTACTATTATCATCATTATCATCATCATTTTTTTCCATGATTGAGGCACAAAGCAGCTCACATTAAAATTTCCCCAAAATATAAATATTACAATAGGACCAAACATAGAAATGGGTGGAAATCCCATTTTAAAGGGGTTCCAATGCTCAACAGCACCTTCCTTAACAGACTTGGGGGCGATTTGCCAAAATCGAAGCCATAAAAGGTCACATTCCGTAACTAGCAGAGCGAGCGCGTCAAGTGCTCCGGACTAGAGTTGCATAACACCATGAAACACGATCTTTGTCCCTGGATTATGATGCATGCCGTTACTTCTTAATTAGTTAGATCATAAAAACATGGGGAAAGTCTATTAAAAAGTTTATTTGCAGGAGGGACATCATCCTCCAGCAGCACATTTTGGTCTCGCTTGCCAACAAATTACTCATCATCAAGTCTCAGCACATTCAAGATGAAGGCAGTCCCATCTTGCCTCCAGTGTCATCAGTTGGGAACCCACCCGCCGCCCTCCAGCACCAACCACTACTCTGAGATCAGAGTGAAGAGAGGGGCCAGGAAGGCAGTTCCATCTTGTCTCCTGCACTGTGCTTATAATATAATGCAATCTATATATATATAAATGCTCTGTGCGTCATTAGTACCTTAAAAACAAAATAACCAATGAATGAAATCACACCAAATTTGGCAACAAAACGTTTCACTACACAAGGAGTGACCATCACTCAAAAAATTGATTTTGTCATTTGGGAGTTGTAGTTGCTGGGATTTATAGTTCACCTACAATCACAGAGCATTCTGGACTCCATCCACGATGGAATTGGGCCAAACTTGGCACACAGAACTCCCCTGACCAACACAAAACCCTGGAAGGGTTTGGTGGGTATTGTCCTTGAGTTTGGGAGTTGTAGTTCACCTACATCCAGAGAGTACTGTGGACTCAAACAATGATGGATCTGGACCAAACTTGGCACAAGCACTCAATATGCCCAAATATGAACACAGATGGAGTTTGGGGGGAATAGACCTTGACATTTGGGAGTTGTAGTTACTGGGATTTATAGTTCACCTACAATCAAAGAGCATTCTGAACCCCACCAATGATAGAATTGAACCAAACATTTCATACAGAACCTCCATAACCAACAGAAAATACTGTGTTTCCTGGTGGTCTTTGGTGACCCCTCTGACACCCCTTTATGACTTCTGCAGGGGTCCCGACCCCCAGGTTAAGAAGTGCTGCCTTAAGGCCATCCAGTCCATCTCCCTTCACCAGGGAAAGAAAACATAACCAAAGCCCTCCTGACAAAGAGCCATCCAGCCATAGATATAGATAGTAGGCCTGTGCGGTTTCGTTCGTTAATTCGTTATTAATTCGTTATTTTTGGCATTTCCGAAGCGATATCAAAACACATTTCCAAACCCGGAAGGGTTTTAAAATATCGAACCAGCAACCCCCATAGATTTAACGAGCTTCCGCTCGTTTCGTTAATGGGGTGGAGGCTGCTGGAGTGCTGGTGCCTGGGAGCCAATCTGGCGCTCCCAAGCAGTGCACCGTGGGTCCGTGGCTGTTTGTTTTTGATTGGCCGGCGAGCCCTTTCAAAGCGGCTCCGCGCGGCCGTAGCTTGCTGCAGAGGGCGAGGGAGTTTGCATTGGGTTGGCTTGGCTGCTAGCAACTGGGATTGGATTCATTCCTTGCTGCTGTGAGTGCTGCTTGCTTCATTTGCTGTCTCTTGCCTGTGTTTGGTCCACATTTGGGCCATTTTTTGGTTAATTTTCCATTTTAAAATATTTTTTAATATTTTTTTAATATTATTTTTTAATAATATTATTTTTATATTATTCTTAAAAAATATTCTAAAAAAGAAAAGACTCTTCTGTTGGTGTGTGCTCTCATTTGCTGTCTCCTGCCTGTGTTTGGTCCACATTTGGGTCATTTAAAATATTTTTTAATATTATTTTAATATTATTCTTAAAAAATACAAAAAATATTCTAAAAATTCGTTAATATTTACAAAATTTCGTAAATACCAAAACTTTTTTGGGGGAAAGTTTCGTAATTATTTTAAATATCGAAACAAAAAAACACCCCAATTACAAATCGATTTTAGAAACAAATTTTCTTGATCAAACAGGCCTAATAGATAGATATGATTCACACACACACATATATAGTTTCATAGATTTGAAAGGGACCCCTGAAGAAGGACAATGATACGTTGCATGTAGGCAAACCAGACAATCTCCACATCAACACTGACAAAGATACAGCAAGAAATACTGTTGACACAACAAGCATAAAGACATTACATATATTAGAAACCAACACTTTCTCATTGCTTCATTTTCCAGATCACCAGGCTGGGCCACAGCAACGTGTGGCAGGGTACCGCTAGTATAATATACATATAATATACATATAATATTGATATTATAATGTAATACAATATACTACTACTACTACTACTAATAAAATTATCTTATAATTATATATTTTATATTAAACGTAATATTACTAATAATATTACAGTATAATGTTATAGTACAATGTAACATATAATATTAATGTTGTGCCATGCTAATAAAAATATATTGTATTTACTTTTTACTTGTAAGCTGCTCTGAGTCCCCTTCGGGGTGAGAAGGGCGGCATAGAAATATCGTAAATAAACATAGTTTGTGCCACAAAAGAAAAGTTTCTGGAGGAGAACAACTCCTTGCAAAGGAAGGACCGCACCATTAAACAGGAAATATAACACTTTCGAACCAGGAACAGGGCATTTTTCAAATGTGGTTGCATACTGTTATCATTCCCTCTCAGTCCTTATCAGTTCCTTTCTCGTGGGAAGCCTGCCGGTGTGCAGGGGCCATGTCTCCTACTCTCTGCTCTCAAAACTGGCACGGTTGACCTCTGCTATTGTTCTCAGTCACAGCACATGGAATCCATGACGTTAGCACTTCAGCCCATGGGTCTCTCTGGCTGCCATATTTAGGGAATGGGGGTTGTGTGGCCTATCGTAGAATCCTAGATTTGGAAGAGACAACACAGGCCATCTAGTCCAACCCCCTTCTGTCCTGCAGGAAAAGCACAATCAAAGCACTCCTGACAGGGAGCCATCCAGCCATAATATTTATTTATTTATTAACTATTACATCTGGCCCGGCCATAGTTTTTTAAATCATTGTATGTTAATGTTTATATGTGATTTATTTAATTGTATTGTTGTTATTTTTTGTTTATTGCTTTCTTGTTTATTGATGTGTTGTCGGGCTTGGCCTCATGTAAGTCACTCTGAGTCCCTTGGGAAGATGGAGGCGGGATACCTCTGAGGATGCTTGCCATAGATGCAGGCAAAACGTCAGGAGAAATGCCTCTAGAACATGGCTCTATAGCCCGAAAAAACCCACAAGAACCTAGTGATTCCAGCCATGAAAGCCTTCGACAAGACATTAAATAAAGTATTATTATTATTATATAATAGAGTTGGAAGAGACTGCATGGGCCATCTAGTCCAACTGTACTGCAGGAAAAGCACCACACAGGTGGCCATCCGCCAATAATAATAATAATAATAATAATAATAATAATAATAATAGAGTAGGAAGGGACTGCATGGGCCATCTAGTCCAACTGCCCTTCAGGAAAAGCACAATCAAAGCACCCCAGATAAGTGGTCATCCACCCTCAATAATAATAATAACAATAACAATAATACTTGGAAGACACTACATGGACCATCTAACCATCAAACCCAATTTGTTTTGTGACACCTCTTCCCTTGCAGCTCGTGGTGGGCTCAGGTGGAGATGGGCCCCCCGGACCCCATCCTGGGCGTGACGGAGGCCTTCAAGCGCGACACCAGCAGCAAGAAGATGAACCTGGGGGTGGGGGCCTACCGTGACGACAACGGAAAGCCCTACGTCCTCAACTGCGTCCGCAAAGTGAGTCCTTCCTCTCTCTCTCTGTCTCTCTCTGTAGTCTGCAAGCAATATATTCATTTCAAAGCAAAACCGGCTTGTGAGTGATCATTTAATATTGCTATATAAAACCTACAGTCTTACAGGGAGTGGAACCCGTTCTGAGTCCACAGGAACTCCCTGCCTCTGCCTTTCTGCTTGGGAGACGGAGTCAGGCGCCCACTGACCATATTGACATGAGTCCCGTGTGCCATCGGATCTAATGCGCACCTCAAACCCAAGAAAGGATTTGGTGCCGAATGTCATGTGCCAAAAGCAGCAAACAGTGCAATCTTTGTCAAGTGGTGTTGATGTCCTTGGGATGTGCGAAGGCATGAACGCAATGTCCTGTTTGTCTCCAGGCAGAAGCCCAGATCGCGGCCAAGAAGATGGACAAGGAGTACCTGCCCATCGCCGGCCTGGCGGAGTTCACCAAGGCATCGGCGGAGCTGGCGCTCGGGGAGAGCAACGAGGTCATCCAGAGCGGACGGGTGAGGCAGCCCTTCGGCCTTCTCCCAAGGCAGTGGTTCTCAACCTTTCTAAAGCCGTGATCCCTAAATACGGTTCCTCATGTTATGGTGACCCCCAACCATAAAATTATTTTCATTGCTACTTTAGAACTGTAATTTCACAAATGTTATGAATCATAATGTAAATATCTGATATGCAGGATGTATTTTAATTGCACAATCAAAGCACTCTTGACAGGTGGCCACCCAGCCATAATAGTAATAATAATAATAATAATAATAATAATAATAATAATAATAATAATAATTGGCAGTGACCACATGGGTCATCTAGTCCTACCCCCTTCTGCCCTGCAGGAAAAGCACAATCAAAGCACCCTTGACAGGTGGCCATCCAGCCATAATAATAATAATAATAATAATAATAATAATAATAATAATAAAAAATCACGATCTGTCAACTGCAAAAGGCCACCTGACTTGGATCTGTGCGCATCATTCAAAAATACATTTCACAGTCTTAGTCACTTGTGATTTTGTGATACGAAATCCAGCATAGAGATCTCGTTTGCTGTGACATACTGTGTTTTTGTGTCAATAGTAATAATAATAATACATCACACAGTCCTAGGTGCTTGGCAAGTGCTCGACTTGTGATTTTGTGATACGAAATCCAACATCGAGATCTCGTTTGCTGTGACATATTGTGCTTTTGTGTCAATTAATAATAATAATAATAATAATAATAATAATAGGCAGTGGCCACATGGGCCATCTAGTCCAACCCCCTTCTGCCCTGCAGGAAAAGCACAATCAAAGCACCCTTGACAGGTGGCCATCCAGCCATAATAATAATAATAATAATAATAGTTGGAAGAGGAGTAGTCCAACTCTTAAGAGTATTCAGTCATTATAAAAGGTAATATTACTAGGTAGGAATGCATGCTGCTCCCTCAAGTTCCAGGGTTGTGAAAAAGTCTGGATTTTGTTTTTGTTTATTTTCAAGCCAATATGTTGTTGTAAAGAGAGGTGGAATATACAAAGATGTTTATTTGTGTGGTTTTCAAAAACAAAGGCACTTAAGCGTAACGGTTGCAAGAATGAGATGAAGCTTATTAGGTTGCTTAAAAACAGTTCAGTGCTTGATTTCCAATACAACTCTTCACTTCATCTATGCTTCGCCCACTTTCTCCCAGCCAATTGCAAGGGTATTCCACATTTCCCTCCAAGCTGCTTCTCAGCTCCGCCTCCTCTAGGAAATGACTAACCTAAGAGGGCTGCCTCCATTGCACCATTCCACAAAATGGCTGCCAAAATAACTGGGCCTAATTCCTGAGCTTTTCCTGACCCACAGATAGGCAATTCATCACAGTGGTCAAATTAAACACACACATTTCACCATCAAGGCTGGATTTTAAGTCTCAAGAAAGAGCAGGTTGCTGACGATGGTGCTCTTTCCCTTCGCAGTACGTCACGGTGCAGACTATTTCCGGGACGGGGTCCCTACGAGTTGGGGCCAACTTCTTGGTGAGTCCTCCTTGCACCACGGAACTTGGGGAGGTGGTTTGGGGTGCCTTTTGCAAAGCTGACCCTCTCCCTCTCGGTGCAGCAACGCTTCTTCAAGTCCAGCCGCGACGTCTACCTGCCGAAACCCTCCTGGGGGAACCACACTCCCATCTTCCGGGACGCCGGGATGCAGCTGCAGAGCTACCGCTACTACGACCCCAAGACCTGCGGCTTCGACTTCACCGGCGCCTTGGAGGACATTTCCGTAAGCAAGAAATAATAATATTTATTATTTGGGGAAGCCTGGCTCAGGAAAGGGCCATTTGGGGTGGGAAGGGCTGAGCTCGAGAGGGTCCAAAGGGGAGGGCCTGTAAACAGAGAACTCCCCCCATTGTTGGAAAGGCCACTCAAAGTAGTAGTAATAGTAGTAGTAGTAGTAGTAGTAGTAATTATTATTTTGGGGTGGGAAGGGCTGAGCTAGAGAGGGCCCAAAGAGGGGGCCTGTAAGCAGAGATCTTCCCCCATTGTTGGAAGGGCCACTCAAAGTAGTAGTAATAGTAGTAGTAGTAGTAGTAGTAGTAGTAATTCTTATTTTGTGGTGGGAAGGGCTGAGCTAGAGAGGGTCCAAAGAGGAGGGCCTGTAAACAGAGAACTCCCCCCATTGTTGGAAGGGCCACTCAAAGTAGTAGTAGTAGTAGTAATAATTTGGTTATTTAGTTAGTTATCATGTCAGAAGCGAATTGAGAATACAATTATGTATAGAAAAAACCACAAAAAAAGTTAAAAACTTGGCATTATTGTTATTTTGTTGTGTATGATTTTGCTTTTTTTTGTACTCATATGTTGTATGTATTTTACTGTATTGTTATTGTGTTTTGGTTTTATTTTATTGTAATATGCTGTTGGGCTTGGCCTCATGTAAGCTGCCCCGAGTCCCCATCGAGGAGATGGTGGCGGGGTATTAAATAAAGATTATTATTATTATTATTATTATTGTTATTGTTATTATTATGCTAAATGTCGTTTGACCAGAAGCTGGCCTCTTGGGTCATTGTAAGAAGTTTGCAACAGGCAGCTTAATAATAATAATAATAATAATTAATTAATAAATAATAATAATAATAATGTCTGAGCTAGAGGAAGTCTGATGGGGAGAGCCTGCAAACAGAGACCCCTTCCAGTTATCGGAAGGGCACTCAATGTAATAATAATAATAATAATAATAATAATAATAATAATGTCTGAGCTAGAGAGGGTCCGAAGGGCACAGAAATTTCCCCCTGTTGTTGGAAGGGTACTCAATGTAGCAGTAGTAGTAGTAGTAGTAGTAATAATAATAATAATAATAATAATAATAATAATAATAATAATGTCTGAGCTAGAGAGGATCCGAAGGGGAGGGCCTGTAAACAGAGACCTTCCCTGTTGTTGGAAGGGCACTCAATGTTATAATAATAATAATAATAATAATAATAATAATAATAATAATAATAATAATAATGTCTGAGCTAGAGAGGATCTGAAGGGGGGGGCCTGTAAATAGAGATCTCCCCTTCTTGTTGGAAGGGCACTCAGTGTAATAATAATAATAATAATAATAATTATTATTATTATTATTATTATTATTATTATTATTATTATGTCTGAGCTAGAGAGGATCCGGAGAGGAGGGCCTGTAAACAGAGTAGTCTTCCAATTATCGGAAGGATACTCAATGTAATAATAATAATAATAATAATAATAATAATAATAATAATAATAATGATAATGATAATAATAATATGTCTGAGCCAGAGAGGATCCGATGGGGAGGGGCCTGTAAACAGAGACCTTCCCCTGTTGTTGGAAGGGCACTCAGTGTAATAATAATAATAATAATAATAATAATAATAATAATAATAATATCTGACCTAGAGAGGGTACGAAAGGGAGGCCAGGGCTGGGCCTGTAAACTGAGCCCTCTCCTCATTGTTGGAAGGACCGCTCAAGGTAGTAGTAGTAGTAGTAGTAGTAATAATAATAATAATAATAATAATAATAATAATAATATAATGTCTGAGCTAGAGAGGGTCCGAAGGGCACAGAAATTTCCCCCTGTTGTTGGAAGGGTACTCAATGTAGCAGTAGTAGTAGTAGTAGTAATAATAATAATAATAATAATATAATGTCTGAGCTAGAGAGGATCCGAAGGGGAGGGCCTGTAAACAGAGACCTTCCCTGTTGTTGGAAGGGCACTCAATGTTATAATAATAATAATAATAATAATAATAATAATAATAATAATAATAATGTCTGAGCTAGAGAGGATCTGAAGGGGGGGGCCTGTAAATAGAGATCTCCCCTTCTTGTTGGAAGGGCACTCAGTGTAATAATAATAATAATAATAATAATTATTATTATTATTATTATTATTATTATTATTATTATTATTATTATGTCTGAGCTAGAGAGGATCCGGAGAGGAGGGCCTGTAAACAGAGTAGTCTTCCAATTATCGGAAGGATACTCAATGTAATAATAATAATAATAATAATAATAATAATAATAATAATAATAATGATAATGATAATAATAATATGTCTGAGCCAGAGAGGATCCGATGGGGAGGGGCCTGTAAACAGAGACCTTCCCCTGTTGTTGGAAGGGCACTCAGTGTAATAATAGTAATAATAATAATAATAATAATAATAATAATAATAATAATAATAATATCTGAGCTAGAGAGGGTACGAAAGGGAGGCCAGGGCTGGGCCTGTAAACTGAGCCCTCTCCTCATTGTTGGAAGGACCGCTCAAGGTAGTAGTAGTAGTAGTAGTAGTAATAATAATAATAATAATAATAATAATAATAATAATATGTCTGAGCTAGAGAGGGTCCGAAGGGGAGGACCTGTAAACAGAGACCTCCTCCTGTTGTTGGAAGGGCACTCAGTGTAATAATAATAATAATAATAATAATAATAATATAATGTCTGAGCTAGAGATAATCCGAAGGGGAGGGCCTGTAAACAGAGACCCTCCCTGTTGTTGGAAGGGCACTCAGTGTAGTAATAATAATAATAATAATAACAGTAATAATAATAATAATGTCTGAGCTAGAGAGGGTCCTAACGGGAGGCCAGGGCTGGGCCTGTAAACCGAGACCCCTCCTCATTGTTGGAAGGGCCACTCAAGATGATAATGATAATAATAATAATAATAATAATAATAATAATAATAATAATAATAATAATAACAATTTTATTTCTTACCCGCCTCTCCTTGTGCCTCGAGGTGGGTCACCGCACAGTCAAAGCACACAAAAATTGCAAAAATTCTATACACACACATTATTAAAATGTAGTTCTTTAAAAGATACAAATTTCAGACTTCTGATCTGTTTATTGATGAGTCCACTGACCATATCAACAATAGAAGACAAACACAAAAATGCGTGGACAGTTGGACACTGATCCTTGACTCCTCTTCCTCCTCCTTCTCTCTGTACCAAAGAAAATCCCGGAGAAGAGCATCCTCCTCCTCCACGCCTGCGCACACAACCCGACCGGCGTGGACCCGCGGCCCGAACAGTGGAAGGAGATGGCCGCCTTAGTGAAGGTGAGCAGGCTCAGGGAAGGCTTCCGCGAGTTCTCCTGCTTGGGAAGGTCCAGCAGGGGTATGGAAGAAGGAACCTGTGGCATTGATGGTCTCGTCGTTCCCATTTTCCTGCTTCTTGGCAGAATGGGGTTGGACTGGGTGGCCCACAAGGTCTCTTCCAATTCTGTGATTCTATGAGTCTGAAATCTTACGGCTAATTGAGCCGAGGTGCCACTCTGACATATGGGACTCGAGGAAATGTGGGTATTATTATATGATTATGATTATGATTATATGTATATATAATATATATACAATATTTTATATAATTTATATATATATGTATATATGTATATATAATTTATATAATATATATATATATAATTATATATATATAATTTATATATTATGTATATATAAATTATATAATATATATATAATATTATATACAATATGTAAATTATATATATATTATTTATATTATATAATTTTTATATATATAATATTATATATATTTTATATACATATAATCATAATAATCATATTGTATATACATATGATATTTATATTATAATGTAATACAGTATAATACTAATATATTATAATTATATATTTTATACTACATGTAATATTACTAATAATATTACAATATAATGGGTACAGTGGTTCTCAACCTTTCAAACACCGTGACCCCTAAATATGCTTCCTCGTGTTGTGGTGACCCCCAACCATAAAATTATTTTTGTTGCTCCTTTATAACTGTAATTTTGCTACTGTTAGAAATCGAAATGTAAATATGTGATGTGCAGGCTAGGCCCTGCACGAAGCCTCCCTCGCCTAAGCCGCGCCCCTGCCAGCCAGCGGGAGCGCGATCTAGGCAAGAGATTTCATACAAGGCATCCATTTTGAGGGGGCGGGGCCAACCGAGGCACCTTCGCAACCCCCAGAAAATGGCCCAGCAACCCCCCTGGGGGTCGCGACCCCCCGGTTGAGAACCACTGGTATAGTACAATATAGTGATGTATAGCGCTGATATTGTACTGTGTTAATGGTATAATGTATTTTGTGTGTGTATATATATATATTGTGTGTTTATATATATCTTGTAAGCCGCTCTGAGTCCCCTTCGGGGTGAGAAGGGCGGCATATGAATGTTGCAAGTAAATAAATAAAAATAAAATATAATAGTGATGTGTAGCGCCGATATTGTAATGTGCTAATGGTATAATGTATTGTATGTGTGTGCGTGTGTATATATATATTGTGTGTATATCTTGTAAGCCGCTCTGAGTCCCCTTTGGGGTGAGAAGGGCGGCATATAAATCTTGCAAGTAAATAAATAAAAATAAAATATATTTATATTTATAAATATAATATAATAATAATACAGGTATGAAGTATGTTTCCTCGTTGTGCACCAAATGCTAGTTTTGTGTGTAGGAAGTGTTTGCCAAAGCCTGTTGGGCCTTCCTGGCGTCTTGTGGGGCGTCTCCCTGCATTGCATTGCAGGCTCTTCCTTTTGCTCCTTCCTTCTTTCTTTCCTTCCTTCTCTTGCAGAAGCGGAACCTCTTTGCCTTCTTCGACATGGCGTACCAGGGCTTTGCCAGCGGGGACATCAACCGGGACGCCTGGGCCGTCCGGCACTTCATCGAGCAAGGCGTCAACATCGCCCTCTCCCAGTCCTACGCCAAGAACATGGGCCTCTACGGTAAGGAAGGCCTCCGCACCCCTTCCTCCGGATTAGAGGGATTAAGGGTTGCGGGGAGGCTTCCCTTTCCTGGGCAGGGATTGGCCAACGGAGGACTCTGGACTTTGGACTGGAATTCTCTGTTTTTCAAGGTCTTCTTGGGTCAAGGGATTGCGAGGTTGCAAGAAAGAGCGAGAGGAGAAGGAGGCTCTTTGGCACGTGACGGGAAAGACCGTGCCAAACAACCAAGGAGGGATTGCATTTCAGCCCAACCTCCACTCCTGATTATTCAATTTAGTGATTTAGGGGAAAACTTAATAATAATAATAATAATAATAATAATAATAATAATAATAATAATGTATTGTCGAAGGCTTTCATGGCCAGAATCACTGGGTTGTTGTAGGTTTTTTCAGGCTATATGGCCATGGTCTAGAGGCATTCTCTCCTGACGTTTCGCCTGCGTCTATGGCAAGCATCCTCAGAGGTTGTGAGCCATTGAAATCCACAAACATGTGGACAATTTCAACCATGAAAACGAACAAAATCTGGCTAGCAGTATTAAAAAACTTGAAAAACAGCAAAACAACAGAGAGGAAACAAATCTGGGACACCTAATCACCTCTTGACAAAAGATTGCCCCAGGACTGCCAGGCCATCAAATGCTAATCAAGGTGGTCAGTTGAAACATTCACACCTCGCTCCAACCCTGGTCATTCCACAGATATATAAACCCTTTTTCCTAGTTTCCAACAGACCTCCCTACCTCTGAGGATGCTTGCCATAGATGCAGGTGAAACGTCAGGAGAAAATGCCTCTAGAACATATAGCCCAAAAAAACCTACAACAACCTCAAAACATAGAGTAAGCAATGCAAAGATCCAAAGACAAAGGTTGAATACAAAAACACAGTTCCATAGATCCATGGGCAAAAACATGAAGCATAATCCTTAGGCAAAGATCAAACAAGAGTCCATGGTAAAACGGTGAAACACAAGACCCAAAAAATCCCAGATTCAGGAAGCCAAAAGCGTGCTGCTTATAGCCAAGATTAATCCATAGGAGTTTGCATGGAAAGAGCCACGTTGAACTGACAATTTCCTTTTGTCAGCCAGAAACCTAAATACCCTTTGCTAACATGAAGGCATTGCAATGACCTTTTGCCGACTTGGCTTCTTTCTTACTAGCTAAGCAAGAACTCCTCCTGACCCTCCAATCTAAGCCTTCTTGCCTGCTCATTAATTCACTATCTTCAATGCTCTCTTCTTTATCAGTTTGGTCCAGCTGGACCAAATCACCGTGGGAAGGCTGAGCAGGCGAAGACAACTCCACCTGTCCGTTATCTCGCTCACTGGCATTCTTTTCCCTTCAGAACTGACTTGTTGTCTTTTCTGCTGCACTGTCTGGGAGAGGCACAGAAACAGGCCCAGAAATCTGAATCCCATCATCCTCTTCATCAGGGAACATTTCTGGCTCACAAGACCCACAGGGTTCAGTTTCAGGCTCAGAATCAAACTGAGTCACAACAGCACCCAGTAACAATAATAGTTGTGTTTCTTGCTTGCTTCTCCTCATGGTTTGAGGCACGTTACAGCATTACTAAAATGTAAACAAAGACATAACACTCCGCAACATATGCGCATTGAAGCAGACCTCCTTTTGCCTTCTAGGGGAGCGAGTGGGGGCCTTCACGGTGGTCTGCCAGGATGCGGAGGAGGCCAAGCGTGTGGAGTCCCAGCTGAAGATCCTGATCCGGCCCATGTACTCCAACCCGCCCGTCAACGGGGCCCGCATCGCCTCCACCATCCTCACCAGTCCCGACCTGCGCAAGGAGTGGTAAGGAAAGCGAGGGAGGGGCCCCTTGCCCTTCTTTGGTGCGACCCTATTGCGACCGGGGGCTCATTCTCATCACTCAGATCAGAGAGCGAGGACTTGCACCTCGACAGCGCTCTGCTCTTCCTCCCCTGATCCTCTCTTTCTCTGCCTCTCTCTGCATCCCTCTTTGTTGGCGCAGGCTGGTGGAGGTGAAGGGCATGGCGGACCGTATCATCGGCATGCGCACCCAGCTGGTGGCCAACCTGAAGAAGGAAGGCTCCTCCCACAACTGGCAGCACATCACTGACCAGATCGGCATGTTCTGCTTCACGGGACTCAAGCCGGAACAGGTCAGTCCCCGCTCCGGCCCGGAGAGAGGATGGCGATGCTTATTAATAAACGTAATAATAATAGAATAAATTATAATCAATAATAATAAAGAAAAAGAATAAATGTAATACTAATAGAATAAAATAATAACTAATAATAATAACAGTAAAATAAATAATAATAATAATAAAGAAAAATAATAAATGTAATAATAGAATAAAATTATAACTAATAATAAAGAAAAGTAATAAATGTAATACTAATAACAGTAAAATAATGACTGTAATAATAACAGAGAAAAATAATAAATGTAATGATAATATAATAAAATAATTAATAATAATAGTAAAATAAGAAATGTAATAATAATAAAGAAAATAATAAATGTAATAATAGAATAAAATTATAACTAATAATAAAGAAAAGTAATAAATGTAATACTAATAACAGTAAAATAATGACTGTAATAATAACAGAGAAAAATAATAAATGTAATGATAATATAATAAAATAATTAATAATAATAGTAAAATAAGAAATGTAATAATAATAAAGAAAATAATAAATGTAATAATAGAATAAAATTATAACTAATAATAAAGAAAAGTAATAAATGTAATACTAATAACAGTAAAATAATGACTGTAATAATAATAGAGAAAAATAATAAATGTAATGATAATATAATAAAATAATTAATAATAATAGTAAAATAAGAAATGTAATAATAATAAAGAAAATAATAAATGTAATAATAGAATAAAATTATAACTAATAATAAAGAAAAGTAATAAATGTAATACTAATAACAGTAAAATAATGACTGTAATAATAACAGAGAAAAATAATAAATGTAATGATAATATAATAAAATAATTAATAATAATAGTAAAATAAGAAATGTAATAATAATAAAGAAAATAATAAATGTAATAATAGAATAAAATTATAACTAATAATAAAGAAAAGTAATAAATGTAATACTAATAACAGTAAAATAATGACTGTAATAATAACAGAGAAAAATAATAAATGTAATGATAATATAATAAAATAATTAATAATAATAGTAAAATAAGAAATGTAATAATAATAAAGAAAATAATAAATGTAATACTAATAACTGAGTAAAATAATAGCTGTAATAATAATAATAGAGTAAAATAATAAATGTAATTAAAATAATAATAAATAGAATAAAATAATAAATAGAATAATAATAAATAAAAACAACAAATGTAATAATAATAGAATAAAATAATAACTAATGATATTAGAGTAAAATTATAACTAATAATAACAGAGTAAAATCTATGTAATAATAATAATAATGAAAAATAATAAATGTAATAATAGAATAAAATAATAACTAATAATAATAATAGTAAAATAATAAATAATAATAATAAAGAAAAATAATAAATGTAATACAAATAACAGTAAAATAATAACTGTAATAATGAGTAAAATAATAAATGTAATAAAAAGAATGATAGAGTAAAATAATAAATATAATAATAAACAAAAATAAATGTAATAATAATAGAATAAAATAATTGTAATAATAATACAGAAAAATAATAAATATAATAATAAAATTATAAATGTAATATAATAAAATAATAACTAATAATATTAGAGTAAAATTATAACTAATAATAATAACAGAGTAAAATAAGAAATGTAATAATAATAAAGAAAAATAATAAATGTAGTAATAATAGAATAAAATAATAACTAATAATAATAGACCTTGGCCTTTGTGTTTCAGGTGGAGCGGCTGACGAAGGAGTTCTCGGTGTACATGACGAAGGACGGGCGCATCTCGGTGGCGGGGGTCACCTCGGGCAACGTGGCCCACCTGGCCCACGCCATCCACCAGGTCTCCAAGTAGGGAGCAAGGGCCCCAGCATCCCCCCCCCCCCCCAGGACCTCCTTTGGGGCAGGAGGAGGAAGAGGAGGAGGGAGAGGAAGAGGTGGCAACACGGTGGCGGTCCAGATGGTTATATGGCCCTGCCTCTCTCCCTTGGCGCGCTTTCCCCAAAAATAAGGAGCCTTTCACGCTTGTCCCAGTTTCCCTTTCCTTTTTGCAGAGGTGGTGGTGGTGGGAAAGGCTGCTTGACCCCATAGACGTCGTCACCCAAAGATTGTGCCACTTGGGCCCTGTCTACACTGCTATAACAACATCCAGATTATCTGCTCTGAACTGGATTATATATGGCTGCGTAGACCCATATAATCCAGTTCAAAGCAGACCGTAAAATGGATTATATTTACTTTGCATCTGCTTTGATAATCTGGATTATATGGCCTGGTTATTGTGAGACTACACTGCCATATAATCCAGATTATCAGAGCAGATAATCCAGATTTTCAGAGCAGATAATCTGGATTTAGATGGCAGTGTAGATGTGCCCTGAGGCCCCTTCTACGCTGCCATATAATCTAGATAATAATAATCCTCTAATCCACATTCTCTGCTCTGAACTGGATTATATGAGTCTATACTGCCGTATAATCCAGATCAAAGGAAATGGTCTGGATTATATATGGCAGTGTAGATGAGGCCTCATATAATCCACTTTAAAGCAGATACTATAGATTCTAAATAAATAAATAAATAAATAAATAAATAATCTGCTTGGATAATCTGGATTATATGGCAGGGTAGAAGCACCCTGAGTCTACACTGCCATATAATCCAAATTATCAAAGCAGATAATCCGGATTTTAGATGGCAGTGTAGACGTGCCCTGACGCCCCTTCTACATTGCCGTATAATTCAGATAATAATAATCCTCTAATCCACATTATCTGCTCTGAACTGGATTTTATGTGTCTATACTGCCATATAATCCGGATCAAAGGAAACGGTCTGGATTATATATGGCAGTGTAGATGAGGCTTTATATGATCCAGTTCAAAGCAGATAATACGGAATACCTGCTTGGATAATCTGGATTATATGGCCTGAGTCCACACTGCCATATAATCCAGATTATCCAAGCAGATGATCTAGATTTTGTATGGCAGTGCAGACCCAGCCTTGGTCCTCAGTTCCAGATTCGAGTGACGGGCTTTTTTGGGGAGTCCTGCCTCCAGTTGCAGTGACAAAACAAAGATATCCCAGGGTTCCCAAAGGCCGCTTTGCGCACAAGGAAGCCTCGCAGCCCTCTGTTAACCCCCTTTTGTTTACTTTCTGCTTCCGCACAGATTTTGACCTGATTTCACGCACCTTCGGCCTCTAACGTTCGGATCTCTTTGTGTTCGGAACCCAGGGTTCCTTCTCTCTCCTTTTGCCAAACGCACTCTCGCATCGTTTCCACTGTTTGATTATTATGATTGTGATCAAACCGATGATAGGTAGCAATTTTTTTGCTTTGGAACCAAATACAAGGTAGACAATAGAATGTGACAACACAAATCGATCTTCAGGAAGGATGGTTACGTTTTGAGATATTCCTCGACTGCAACTCCCATCATCTTTCGCCATTGTTTAGCTGCTGGGAGTTGTAGTCCAAGGAGAACTTGTTTCAGCTTTGGAGGGGATTCTGGTCTGCACCCAGGGCCGTGCGGGGATGCCTTGCCTGGCCTTCCCATCGCTCCCTTCCCTCTGGGATGCTGGGAACTCCACTCCATGGACTCCTGTTTTGGGGGGTTCCGCGTTTGCGGTGGTTCTGCTTCCGTTGCCGCCTTCCTCCGTCCTTTCCCGGAGGTCGTTCTGCCGTTCTGTAGAATCCACTCTGGCCTTGGTCCAGGTCCAGCCTCTCGTTTGGAAGGAAATAATAAAGCTGCTGCTAGACGTTGCCTTCAGTTGTCTTCATATTACCCGCATACCGTCTCACATCGGCTGGACACACAGCCCATCCCTATCTATCCATCCATCCATCTATCTGTCCGTCCGTCCGTCCGTCCATCCATCTATCTGTCTATCTATCCATCCATCTATCCATCTGTCTACCCATCCATCCATCCATCCATCCATCTATCCATCCATCCATCTGTCTATATGTCCATCCATCTATCTATCCATCCATCCATCTATCCATCCATCCATCCATCCATCCTTCTATCTATCCATCCATCTATCCATCTGTCTATCCGTCCATCTATCTATCCATCCGTCCGCCCGCCCATCCATCCATCCATCTATCCATCCATCCTTCCATCTATCCATCCGCCCGCCCAACCATCCATCCATCTACCTACCTACCTCTCTTTCTATCTATCCATCCATCCATCCATCCATCCTATCTATCCATCCTTCCATCTATCTATCTATCTATCTATCTATCTATCTATCTATCTATCTATCTATCTATCTATCTATCTATCTATCTATCCATCCATCCATCCATCCATCCATCCATCCATCCATCCTTCTATCCATCTATCCATCCTTCTCTCTATCCATCCATCTATCTATCCATCCATCCATCTATTTATTTATTTATTACTTCGCTTATATACTGCAATTCTCAGCCTAATGGCGACTCATTGCGGTGTACAACATGGAAAAAACAGGTGCAAAAATACAACATACAACAAATAATCCACAGTACATCATTATCAAAACATCTCATCAAAAACATCCATATAACTACAAGCCATTCCGAGTCGTCTCATCGTCAAGTTCCCAATCCAATATCATTTCCGTTGTTCCGTTCCTATGGTCGAGTTACCCGTCATTGCACTACTATTCAAATGCCTTCTCAAACAACCAGGTCTTTAACTTCCTGCGGAATATCAACAGGGAGGGGGCTAGCCTGATGTCCACGGGAAGGGTGTTCCACAGCCGAGGAGCCACCACCGAGAAGGCCCTATCTCTCGTCCCCGCCAGCCGTGCCTGTGACGCAGGCGGGATCAAGACGAGGGCCTCCCCGGAAGATCTCAAAGTCCTCGTGGGCTCATAGGCCGAGAGGCGGTCAGTTAGGTATCTATCTATCTATCTGTCCATCTGTCTATATGTCCATCCATCTATCTATCCATCCATTTATCCATCTGTCTGTCCGTCCATCCGTCTGTCTGTCCATCCATCCTATCTATCCACCCACCCATCCATCTGTCTATCCGTCCGCCCGCCCATCCATCCATCTATCTATCCATCCATCCTTCCTTCTATCCATCTATCCATCCGCCCGCCCAACCATCCATCCATCCATTTACCTACCTACCTCTCTATCTATCCATCCATCCTATCTATCCATCCTTCCATCTATCTATCTATCCATCCTTCTATCTATCTATCTATCCATCCTTTCTTCCTTCTATCCATCCACCCATCCATCCATCTATCTATCCATCTGTCTGTCCGTCCATCTGTCTATCCTTCCTTCCTTCCTTCCATCTATCCATCTGTCTGTCTGTCCATCCGTCTGTCCATCCATCCACAGGGAGAGGCGGGGGGAGTATTTAGTCAGATACCAATTGTACAAGTTCTCCCACTTAAAAAAGATGACAAAGGCCTGTAATTGACATTATCAGTAGGTCTCAACTATAATAATAATACTTCCATGCCATCAAATCCAGAATTGGAAAGTTGACGACAGTTCCCAAGTGTAGACTCTGCAAGGAAGCAGACGAAAAACAATAGATCCCATCCTCAGCTGCAGCAAGAAGACGTGCAGACAGACAGACTACAAGCAGAGGCACAACACCATCCCAGTGCTTCTTTCTCTGTATTAGTGTGGAATTTGCATGGCCCCACCCACTGCTTCTTCCATTACCCTTTGGGAGGAGGCTGGGCCATGGATGATGGGGCTTGCAGTACTTTAACTCCCTTCCCAAGACCACTGCGACCCACACAAATGAGGGACTTGGACTAAACTTGGTACATGACCCACTATACATCCTGGTGCAGTTCGGGGGAGAATGGACCAAGGATGATGGGACTTGCAGTACCTTCACTTCCTTCCTGAGACCTCTGTGGCCCCCATGAATGAGGGACTTGGACTAAACTTGGTACACAGACGCCCCTCCATGACCCACTATACATCCTGGTGCAGTTCGGGGGAGAATGGACCAAGGATTGATATCGAGCTCTTTTGGGGGGTCTCTCCGGAGAGGAGAGCCCAAGGACTGCACCAAAGAGAGTCCTGGATACCTTGGTGAGATTTCCGGAAGCCAATCCAAGAGCGCAGGAATATTTTAAAATATAATCAGCTCACCAGAGGCGGAAGAAGTCCAGCGATTGAGGTTTATTTGCGATTCAGCTGCAATCGGATGCAGTTGTAGGGATAGTTCCTCTACAAGCATGTAGATACAAAGATTTCAGGCATTTTTATACAGTACAGGACAAAAGAAAGTTTGAAACTCCCGCTGCCCCTTGCCGGCCGGCTTGACGCTGATTGGCTGAGGCTGGAACAGCTGGGAGGAGGCTTGGCGGCCCGCCTCAGCTTTCAGCCAATCAGAACGTTCCTGCGCCTCGGGAGGGCCAATGGGCGTCCTCCGCTCGCTTCTGAGTTTGGACCAATCAGGAGTGAGGGGGCGGAACGGCCGCAGACAAAGGGGAAAGATGATGGGATTTGGATTTCCTGCCAGCTGGAATGCGGGCTTTTGTCCCAGGCGGGAAGAGGGTGATCCGGATAAACAAAGAGCTTTCCAGTCCTTGATGGGTTTTGGGGAGCATTTTGAATAAGCTAGATCGATATCGGGCCACTCGGGGGGTCAACAATACCTTGGTGATATATCAGTCCTTTCTTTCCGAGGCTCTGCTGACCCCCTTCCCTCGCTGGCCTTGCTCCGATGGCTAGGGTTGGGGATCAGCAGTATTGTCCATGCTGATGAGTCAATCAATGGGTGATTGAGGAAGAGGCTGGGGCTCTTTCCTCAGGCAGTTCCTGGTCACGCCGGTTTTTGTGGGGCGAAGGTCAAGGGGGTGGGTACAGAGGAAATTCATAAGGTTACATACATATATCAATATCATAGGCAATAGGCATCACTGATACAGAGTTAGAGCAGAAGAGGAACCCCCATCCCACCCCATAAAGTTTATTTCAATATTTGATCTTTATTAAGGTCCAAACTGGAAATCCCATGCTCTTAGGAAGGGCGTGTGGAAGCAGAGGTTGCTAGCAGTTCAAATCAAGCATTGATAGAAAGTTCATGGCCAGGGTTGTGGCAAACAGTCCAGTCCACTCAGCAGAGAGTCATGGATTCAGGCTGGAATCAGCAGATGGGCGCTGAGTTGATCAATAACAGAATCCATCGCTCGGCCCTTGGGGAACTATAAGTACTTGGGAGGGGGGGGGGGAGATACTCGGCATCAGGATGATGGGACTTGCAGTACCTTCACTCCCTTCCTGAGACCTCTGTGGCCCCCATGAATGAGGGACTTGGACTAAACTTGGTACACAGACCCCCCTCCATGACCCACTATACATCCTGGTGCAGTTTGGGGGAGAATGGACCAAGGATGATGGGACTTGCAGTACCTTCACTCCCTTCCCAAGACCACTGCGACCCTCACAAATGAGGGACTTGGACTAAACTTGGTACACAGAACCCCCCATAACCCACTTTACATCCTGGTGCAGTTTGGGGGAGGATGGACCAGGAATGATGGGACTTACAGTACCCTAACTCCCTTCTTGAGACCACTGCAACCCCGAAGATTGAGGGACCTGGACCAAGCTTGGTACACAGACCCCATATAACCCACTTTACATCCTGGTGCAACTTGGGGGAGAATGGAGCAAGAATGATGGGACTTGCAGTACCTTCACTCACTTCCAGAGACCACTGCGACCCCCATGAATAATGCGTCCGGACCAAACTTGGAACACAGACACCCCCATGACCAAACAAACAATGGGTTTGGGGAACTGACCCACCTATATGGGAGTTGTAGTTCACCTGGAAGCACCCTCTGTTTGGGAAGTGTTCACTGGCACTTGGTTGCTTGCTGTCTGGGGTTCTCCTGTTTCCAAGAGTTCGTTGTTTACTATCTCCTGCCTAGAGGCATCCTCCCAAACTGAGGATGCCTCCAGGCAACAACAACCAAGCTACCTCTCTGCAGAGACCCTCACTGATTGACTTTGCAACTTCATGGCTACTCAAGGCTATTTCAAGCTTGCTCATTGCAACATCCACACTTGCTTCAAACAGGCAAGGGTTCTTCCTCCCACCCTGGACATTATTCCATAGGTGTGTGTGTATGTATATATGCACGTGTGTATGTATGTGTGTGTGTGTGTGTGTGTGTGTGTGTGTGTATATATATATATATATACATACACACACACACACACTCCACTTCCCTCTCTTTCAACAGACTCAGGATGGTTGCCATAATGCAATGAAGCAAGTGGAGTGTGTATATATATATATGTATGTATACACACACACACACAGAGTCCTCCCCTGCCACGTATTGCTGTGGCCGTCTGTGTATATGTGTTTTGTGTGTATATATGCGTCTATATATTTGTGTATATATGTGTGTTTGCGTAAATATATATGGGTGTATATGTGTGTATATATTTATGTATTTGTGTGTTTATATGTGCACATGCCTATTGTGTATATGTGCGTGCTTGTCTATATGCATAATTTGTGGGTATATATGTATATTTGTGTGCATGTATATATGTATATATGTGTGTATATATGTGTTTCTGCATATACATATGTGTGTGTATGAATGTGTGCATGTGTGTACATATGTATATTGTGTGTGCATGTATATATGTGTGTATATAAGTGTATATTTGTGTGTGTTTGTGCATATATATGTGTGTGTGTATGAATGTGTGCATGTGTATATGTGTATACATATGTATATTGTGTGCATGTATATATGTGTGTATATAAGTGTATATTTGTGTGTGTTTGTGCATATATATGTGTGTGTGTATGAATGTGTGCATGTGTGTACATATGTATATTGTGTGTGCATGTATATATGTGTGTATATAAGTGTATATTTGTGTGTGTTTGTGCATATATATGTGTGTGTGTATGAATGTGTGCATGTGTATATGTGTATACATATGTATATTGTGTGCATGTATATATGTGTGTATATAAGTGTATATTTGTGTGTGTTTGTGCATATATATGTGTGTGTGTATGAATGTGTGCATGTGTATATGTGTATACATATGTATATTGTGTGCATGTATATATGTGTGTATATAAGTGTATATTTGTGTGTGTTTGTGCATATATATGTGTGTGTGTATGAATGTGTGCATGTGTATATGTATATGAGTGTATGTATATATGGTGTATTTTGGGGGTTTTTAAGTCTGTTCCACTGGGGTTTTGTGTGTGTGTGTGTGTGTGTTTAGGGGTGATGGTCACTCGTTGGCCTGATAAGTGTCTTGTGTCCAAATTTGGTGTCAATTCGTCCAGTGGTTTTTGAGTTATGTTAATCCAACGAATATTACACACACACATATCTATCTATCTATCTATCTATCTTAGGAATAATGTCCAGATTGGAAGCAAGTGTGAAAGTTTCAATTAGCAAGCTTGATTACCATTGAGTGGCCACGACGTCTGCAAAGTCAATCAGTGAGGGTCGCCTGGCCTTTGTTGCCAGGAAGCACCTTCTGCTTCCTCTGCCATGCAATCCAGTTTGCAGCAGATCATCTGGATTTTATTATTATAGCAGTGCAATTATATATGTAAAATTATTTAATTTTACTTAATTAATTATAATTTTAATTATTTAATTACTAATTTATTATTAATAATTGCCATGGCTCAGTGAAGCAGATCATCTGGGTTTCATTATATAGCACTGCAATTATATATGTAAGGCTATTTAATTTTAGTGCAATTATATATGTAAGGCAATCTAATTTTACGTAATTAATTATAATTTTAATTATTATTTAATTACTAATTTATTATTATTAATTGCCATAACTGCTCAGTGAAGCAGACCATCTGGGTTTTGCTATATGGCAGTGCATTTATATATATAGGACTATTTAATTTTACTTAATTATAATTATAATTTAATTACTAATTTATTATTAATAATTGCCATGGCTCAGTGAAGCAGATCATCTGGGTTTTATTATATGGCACTGCAATTATATATGTAAGGCTATTTAATTTTACTTAATTAATTATAATTATTAATTAATTATAATTATTAATAATTGCCATGGCTCAGTAAGGCTATTTAATTTTACTTAATTAATTATAATTATTATTTAATTACTAATTTATTATTAATAATTGCCATGGCTCAGTAAGGCTATTTAATTTTACTTAATTAATTATAATTATTATTTAATTACTAATTTATTATTAATAATTGCCATGGCTCAGTAAGGCTATTTAATTTTACTTAATTAATTATAATTATTATTTAATTACTAATTTATTATTAATAATTGCCATGGCTCAGTAAGGCTATTTAATTTTACTTAATTAATTATAATTATTATTTAATTACTAATTTATTATTAATAATTGCCATGGCTCAGTAAGGCTATTTAATTTTACTTAATTAATTATAATTATTATTTAATTACTAATTTATTATTAATAATTGCCATGGCTCAGTAAGCCTATTTAATTTTACTTAATTAATTATAATTATTATTTAATTACTAATTTATTATTAATAATTGCCATGGCTCAGTAAGGCTATTTAATTTTACTTAATTAATTATAATTATTATTTAATTACTAATTTATTATTAATAATTGCCATGGCTCAGTAAGCCTATTTAATTTTACTTAATTAATTATAATTATTATTTAATTACTAATTTATTATTAATAATTGCCATGGCTCAGTAAGGCTATTTAATTTTACTTAATTAATTATAATTATTATTTAATTACTAATTTATTATTAATAATTGCCATGGCTCAGTAAGGCTATTTAATTTTACTTAATTAATTATAATTATTATTTAATTACTAATTTATTATTAATAATTGCCATGGCTCAGTAAGGCTATTTAATTTTACTTAATTAATTATAATTATTATTTAATTACTAATTTATTATTAATAATTGCCATGGCTCAGTAAGGCTATTTAATTTTACTTAATTAATTATAATTATTATTTAATTACTAATTTATTATTAATAATTGCCATGGCTCAGTAAGCCTATTTAATTTTACTTAATTAATTATAATTATTATTTAATTACTAATTTATTATTAATAATTGCCATGGCTCAGTAAGGCTATTTAATTTTACATAATTAATTATAATTATTATTTAATTACTAATTTGTTATTAATAATTGCCATGGCTCAGTAAGGCTATTTAATTTTACTTAATTAATTATAATTATTATTTAATTACCAATTTATTATTAATAATTGTCATTGCTCAATGAAGCAGAGCATCTGGGTTTTGCTATGTGACAGTGCAATTATATATTTAAGGCTATTTAATTTTACTTAATTAATTATAATTATTATTTAATTACTAATTTATTATTATTAGTTTCCATGGCTCAGTGATCTCTCAATGGCAATTCCCTTTGCTGCCCTCTTCCGGACAAGTTAATATTGCACTTGCTTTGAGTTCCTGATCTGCAATGCTTTGCTGCCATCGTGTGGACAGAGTGGGAAACTGCACCTCTATATTATATTTTCCTCCCAGCCGCTCATTTGCATCGCCCCGCCCACACTCCACACGTCGAGCTTCCCCATTGGCCAAACGCCCTGCCTATAAGGAGCTTCGCGCGGCCATTGGTTAGAGCGCAGGCGGCAGGGTTTAGATTTAGAACAAGAAGCCGAGCGGGGAAACTGACGCATGCGCAGTTGGGTTTTTGTTCCTAGACTTGGTTAGATTGAGCTCCGATGACGTCATGCACCGCCCTTTCCGGCTGCGACGTCACTTCCGGAAGAGAAGAAGCCGGAAGGCCTAGCATCTCGTCCTGACCAGGTTGAGTTTCTCTTTTTTTCTCTCAGATCTTGAATTTACAAAGGAAATAAATGGAAATATATGCAAATGTATGCATAAATTATTTATAAAAAATTATAGAAATAAATTATAAAACTATTAAAATATCTGCCAGAATTTTCCTGAAACAGAAGAACGGCCTGCCTCAGGGGAGCGTGCTTGCTCCATCCATGTTCAACATCTACACAAATGACCAGCCACTGCCAGAAGGGACAGAGAGCTTCATCTATGCTGATGATCGTGCCATCACCGCTCAAGCAGGGAGCTTTGAGATGGTTGGACAGAAGCTCTCCAAAGCTCTAGGTGCTCTGACTGCCTATTACAGGGAAAACCAACTTGTTCCATCAATGTTTAACATTGACACAAATGACCGGCCACTGCCAGACGCGTCATAGAGTTTCATTTATGCTGACGATCGTGCCATCACTGCTCAAGCAGGGAGCTTTGAGATGGTTGAACAGAAGCTCTCCGAAGCTCTAGGTGCTCTGACTGCCTATTACAGGGAAAACCAGCTGATCCCTAACCCATTCAAAACACAGACATGTGCCTTTCACCTTAAGAACAGACAAGCATCCCGAGCTCTGAGGATTATCACCTGGGAAGGAAGGAATCCCACGGGAGCATTGCAAGACACCCAAATACCTGGGAGTCACTTTGGACCATGCTCTGACCTACAAGAAGCACTGCCTGAACATCAAGCAAAAAGTGGGCGCTAGAAACAATATCATACGAAAGCTGACTGGCACAACCTGGGGATCACAACCAGACACAGTGAAGACATCTGCCCTTGCGCTGTGCTACTCTGCTGCTGAGTACGCATGCCCAGTGTGGAACACATCTCACCACGCTAAAACAGTAGATGTGGCTCTGAATGAGACATGCCGCATTATCACGGGGTGTCTGCGCCCTACACCACTGGAGAAATTACACTGCTTAGCCGGTATTGCACCACCTGACATCCGCCGGGAAGTAGCAGCCAATAGTGAAAGGACCAAGGCAGAGACATCCAGCTCATCCCCTGTTTGGGTATCAGCCAGCACGTCAACGACTTAAATCAAGACATAGTTTTCTAAGATCTACAGAGACACTCGCTGGAACACCTCAGCAAGTGAGAGTCCAAAAGTGGCATGTGCCTTTCACCTCAAGAACAGACAAGCATCCTGAGCTCTGAGGATTACCTGGGAAGGGATCCCACTGGAGCATTGCAGCACACCCAAATACCTGCGAGTCACTCTGGACCGTGCTCTTACCTACAAGAAGCACTGCCTGAACATCAAGCAAAAAGTGGGTGCTAGAAACAATATCATATGAAAGCTGACTGGCACAACCTGGGGATCACAACCAGACACAGTGAAGACATCTGCCCTTGCGCTATGCTACTCTGCTGCTGAGTACGCATGCCCAGTGTGGTGCAATACCAGCTCAGCAGTGTAATTTCTCCAGTGGTGTAGGGCACAGACACCCCGTGATAATGCGGCATGTCTCATTAAGAGCCACATCCACTGTTTTAGCGTGGTGAGATGTGTTCCACACTGGGCATGCATACTCAGCAGCAGAGTAGCACAGCGCAAGGGCAGATGTCTTCACTGTGTCTGGTTGTGATCCCCAGGTTGTGCCAGTCAGCTTTCGTATGATATTGTTTTCTAGCACCCACTTTTTGCTTGATGTTCAGGCAGTGCTTCTTGTAGGTAAGAGCACGGTCCAGAGTGACTCCCAGGTATTTGGGTGCGCTGCAATGCTCCAGTGGGATTCCTTCCCAGGTGATCTTCAGAGCTTGGGATGCTTCTCTGTTCTTGAGATGAAAGGCACATATCTGTGTTTGGGATGGGTTGAGGATCAGGTTTTCCCTGTAATAGGCAGTAATAACACCTAGAGCTTCTGTTTTACCATCTCACCCACCTCATAGGAAACCTGCTACAAAACAGGAGCTTTTTTGTTGAGTTCCAGGGCCAGAGAAGTGTTTTGGATGGGATAGGGATCAGCTGGTTTTCCCTGTAATAGGCAGTAAGAGCACCTAGAGCTTTCGGAGAGCTTCTGTTCAACCATCTCAAAGCTCCCTGCTTGAGCAGTGATGGCACGATCATCAGCATAGATGAAGCTCTCTGTCCCTTCTGGCAGTGGCTGGTCATTTGTGTAGATGTTGAACATGGATGGAGCAAGCACGCTCCCCTGAGGCAGGCCATTCTTCTGTTTCCGCCATCTGCTTCTACAATAATAATAATAATAATAATAATAATAATAATAGTTTTAACCTCGGAGGAGGAGACAGAGAGAGAGAGAGGGTTGGGAGATTTTCTATTCCAGTTTTATAATGCTTCTCAACAATAATAATAATAATAATAATAATAATAATAATAATAATAATAGTAACAAACCCCCTTCTGCCTTCATGCTGGGAATATACAATTAAAGCACCCCTGACAGATGGCCATCCATTCTTAATAATGATGATGATAATAATAATAATAATAATAGGAAGGAGGAGGGAGGCAGCAGAGCCAATGTGACCGGCAATAGGAGAGAGGAAATTCATCCGCTTAAGCTGAGGCCAGGGACCGGAAGTCGGGTCATGCCGACTTTCTTATTGCACCGCTTGCCACGAGGGAGGGAAGATTTCAAAACTTGCACCAGACATCCGAAAATAATTCCAAACAATGGGCAAGTTGCTTCAATTCGGAATTGCTCCTCCCACTATTCCTGCGTGGCTCGAAATTGATTCAAAAGTAAATTTAATCCGAATTAATTACGAGTTAAGAAGCTTCCGAACGAACCTACCCAAGCCTAATACACACATATATACTAGGGCTGGGTAACCACGGAAAAATTTGTTTCTAAACTCGATTCGTTTTTAGGGGGGTTTTGCGTTTCGTTTTTAAAAGAATTCTGAATTTTTTCTTTAAAAAAGTTCGAAATATACGAAATTTCATAAATTACGAAACAATTACGAAACAATTACGAATCGATTCGTTAATGGCGGACGCGATTGCGCAATATGCTAAAAAAAAACCCTCCAAATGGGACAGGGGGAACTTCTGAAGCTTCCCTCTCCCTCTGTTGGTGTGATAATTTATTTTTTATCACTGATAAAACAAACAACAACTATAAAACTTGCACCAGACATACGGAAACAATTACGAAACTATTACGAAATAAATTGAAAAAATTGTTTCGATATACTATTCCTGCATGGCTCAAAATCGGATCGTAAGCTAATTTAAATACGAATTAATAACGAATTACGAAATTAACGAACGAAACCGCCCAGCCCTAATATTTACACATGCACACACAAATATACATATATACACATGCACAAACACATACATATATACATACATACACAGAAATATGCATATAGACAAGCACACACATATACACAATATCCATGTACACATCTAAGCACTAGGCTTGTTTGATCAAGAAAAAAATTGGTTCTAAACTCGCTTCGTTTCCAGGGGGCGCCAGCGTTTCGAATTTCTGAGGACTTCCGAAATTTAAGATTTCGAAATTTCGAAATTTACGAAATTTCGTTAATTACGAATCGATTCGTTAATGGCGGACGCGATTGCGCAATGCGCTAAAAACACCTCCAAACGGGACAGGGGGAACTTCTGAAATTCAGGATGAAATTAAAATACATTAAGTTAGTAAAAATACAAATTAAAATCACTTAAAATTAATAAAATAATAAAATAAATAATAAAAAAAATAAGTAATAAGATAATAAAATATCTCCAGGAGGAGGAGGAGGAGGAGGAGGATGGGGAGGAAAGACAACGCTGACACCTTTTCTCTCCTTCTTTCCTGTCTTAATAATTACGAAATAATTACGAAAATTTGGAAAAATTGTTTCGATTCTTAATTACTCTTCACACTATTCCTGCATGGCTCGATATTGGATCGTAAGCTAATTTAAATACGAATTAATAACGACTTTAGAAACTAACGAACACGATCAAACAAGCCTAATAAGCACACAAATACACAAATATATACACATATATACTAGGCTTGGTTGATCCAGTTCGTTAATTTCTAAAGTCGTTTTTTATTAGTTATTTGTTTATAATTAGAAGCGATTTTGACCCGTTTTAGGAACCCGGAAGTGTTTTTCTCAAATCGAAGCCGCGGCCGCCATCTTGAAAACGACTTCCGCCAGCTTCGTTAGTGATGTCACAGGTGCTGGGATGCTGGGAATGATGGGCTTCCAGCCAATGAGGAGAAGCCAGGTATTAAGGCGTGGTTTCTGCAGGGCGGCCATTGGCCTTTAAAAGCGGCTGCGCGTGCCTCGTGGTCCCATTTTGAGCCGGGAAAGGAGGGCTTCAGGCTGCTGTGGTTACGAATCAATTCATAATTAACGAAATTTCGTAAATTTTGAAATTTTGAAATCAGAAATTTCGGAAGGCCTTTGAAATTCGAAACACTGGCACCCCCTGGAAACGAAACGAGTTTAGAAGCAATTTTTTTCTTGATCACCCAAGCCTAATATATACACACAAACATATACACCCATCCACACATATATATACACACACAAAACACATACACAGACTAGGCCATGGCAATGCGTGGCAGGCGACGGCTAGTTATCTATATAAATCAAAATGTCATGTTCGTTTGTGGGATTAACGGAACTCAAAAACCACTGGATGAATTGACATCAAATTTGGACACAAGACTCCTCTCAGGCCAACGAGTGAACATCACTCGTAAAAACACCGAAAAACAAAGCGAAAGGGGAAAAAACCCAAACATTACAAACATGCACAAAACCACATATATGCATATGCACACACAAAACACATACACAGAAAGGTGAAGGAAGGAGAGAAGGAGGGAGAGAAAAGGGAAAGAAGGAAGGAAGGAAGAAGGGGAGAGAAGGAAAGAGAAAGAGAGGAAGGAAAGAAAGAGGAGGAAGGAAAAGCAAAGAGACAAGAAAGGATGGAACCAAAGAACAAAGGAAGCAAGAAAAGAAACAGGTAGAGAAGGAAGAAAGAAGAAGGGAAGGAAGGAAAGAGGGAGGGAGGGAGGGAAGGAGAGAAAGAGGGAAAGAAGGAGAGAAGGAAGGAAAGAAAAGGGTAGAGAAGGAGGGAGAGAAAGAAGGAAGGAGAGAAGGAAGGAAAGAGAGAAGGAAGAATGGAACGAAAGCAAAGGAAGTGAGAAAAGAAACAGGTAGAGAAGGAAGAAAGAAGAAGGAAAAGAAAAAGAGGGAAGGAAGGAAAGGGAGGGAGGGAGGGAGGGAAGGCGAGAAAGAGGGAAAGAAGGAGAGAAGGAAGGAAAGAAAAGGGTAGAGAAGGAGGGAGAGAAAGAAGGAAGGAAAGAAAGAAAGGCAGAGGAGGAGAGGAAATAAAAAGTGAAAGAGGGAAGGAAGGAGAGAAGGAATATGAGAGAAAGGGGGAAGGAAAGAGACAAGGAAGGATAGAACCAAAGAGCAAAGGAAGCGAGAAAAGAAACAGGTAGAGAAGGAAGAAAAAAGAAGGGAAAGAAAAAGAGGGAATGAAGGGAAGAGGGAGGGAAGGAAGGAGAGAAAGAAAGAAGAAAAAGAGGGAAAGAAAAGGGTAGAGAAGGAGGGAGGGAAAGAGGGAAGGAGAGAAAGAAAGAAGGAGAGAAGGAAGGGGAAAGAAGAAGGAAAGGAGGAGGGAAGGAAAGAAAAGGGAGAGAAAGGAGGGAGGGAAAGAGGGAAGGAGAGAAGGAAAGAAAGGCAGAGAAGGAAAGTAGGAGAGGAGGAAATAAAAAGTGAAAGAGGGAAAGAAGGAGAGAAGGAATGAAAGAGAAAAAGAGGGAGGGAGGGAAGGAAAGAGACAAGGAAGGAGGGAACAAAAGAGCAAAGGAAGAGAAAGAAACAGGTAGAGAAGGAAAAAAGAAGAAGGGAAAGAAAAAAAGGGAAGGAAGAAAGAGGGAGGGAAAGGAAGGAGAGAGAGGGAAAGAAGAGAAGGAAAGGAGGAGGAAAGGAGAAGGAAGAAAGAAGAGAGAAGGAGGGAGGGAAAGAGAAGGAAAGAAAGAAAAGCAGAGAAGGAAAGGAAGGAGAGAAGGAAATAAAAAGTGAAAGAGGGAAGGAAGGAGAGAAGGAATGAAAGAGAGAAAGAGGGAGGAAGGAAGGAAAGAGACAAGGAAGGATGGAACCAAAGAGCAAAGGAAGCGAGAAAAGAAACAGGTAGAGAAGTAAGGAAGAAGAAGGGAAAGAAAAAGAGGGAGAGGAAAGAGGGAGGGAAGGAAAGGAGAGAAGAAGGAAAGGAGAAGAAAGAGGGAAAGAAGAAGGGAAAGGAGGAGGGAAGGAAGAAAGAAAAGGAGAGAGGAAGAGTGAAAGAGGAAGGAGAGAAGGAAAGAAGGAGAGGAAGAAATAAAAGTGAAAGAGGGAAGGAAGGAGAGAAGGAATGAAAGAGAGAAAGGGGAGGAAGGAAGGAAAGAGACAAGGAAGGATGGAACCAAAGAGCAAAGGAAGCGAGAAAAGAAACAGGTAGAGAAGGAAGAAAGAGAAGGGAAAGAAAAAGGGGGAAGGAAAGAGAGAGGGAAGGAGAAAAGAAAAGAAAGAGGGAAGGAAGAGGAAGGAAAGAAAGGGGAGAAAGAGGAGGGAGGGAGAAAAGAGGGAAAGAAAGAAAAAGGAGAGGAAGGAAGAAGGAGAGAAGGAAAAAAGGAAAAGAGGGAAGGAAGGAGAGAAGGAAGGAAAGAGGGAGGGAGGGAAGGAAAGAGAGAAGGAAGAATGGAACCAAAGAGCAAAGGAAGTGAGAAAAGAGACAGGTAGAGAAGGAAGAAGAAGGGAAAGAAAAAGAGGGAAGGAAGGAAAGAGGGAGGAAAGGAAGGGGGAAAGGAGGAGGGAAAGAGAGAAGGAAGGAAAGAAAAAGGAAGAGAAGGAGGAAGGGAAAGAGGAAGGAGAGAAGGAAGGAAGGAGAGAAGAAGGAAATAAAAAGTGAAAGAGGGAGGAAGGAGAGAAGGAATGAAAGAGAGAAAGAGGGAGGGAAGGGAAGGGAAGAGACAAGGAAGGATAGAACCAAAGAGCAAAGGAAGCGAGAAAAGAAACATAGAGAAGGAAGAAAGAAGAAGAGAAAGAAAAAGAGGGAAGGAAGGAGAGAAGGAAGGAAAGAAAAGGGTAGAGAAAGAGGGGGAGAAAGAGGGAAGGAGATAAGGAAAGAAAGAAAGGCAGAGAAGGAAAGAAGGAGATGAGGAAATAAAAAGTGAAAGAGGGAAGGAAGGAGAGAAGGAAGGAAAGAGAGAAAGAGGGAGGAAGGTAAGGAAAGAGACAAGGAATGATGGAACCAAAGAGCAAAGGAAGCGAGAAAAGAAACAGGTAGAGACGTAAGAAAGAAGAAGGGAAAAAAAAAGAGGGAAGGAAGGAAAGAGGGAGGGAAGGAAGGAGAGAAGGAACTAGAAAAAAGAAAGGGAAGAAGAAGGGAAGGAAGGAGAGAAGGAAAAAGAAAAGAAGAAGGAGAGGAGGAAAATAAAAATGAAAGAGGGAAGGAAGGAGAGAAAGAATGAAATAAAGGAAGGAAGGAAAGAGACAAGGAAGGATGGAACCAAAGAGCAAAGCAAGCGAGAAAAGAAACAGGTAGATAAGGAAGAAAGAAAAGGGGAAAGAAAAAGAAGGAAGGAAGGAAAGAGGGAGGGAAGGAAGGAGGAAAGAGGGAAAGGAAGGAAAGGAGGAGGGAAGGAGGGAGAGGAAGGAAAAAAGGCAAGAAAAGGAAAGAAGGAGAAGGAAATAAAAAGTGAAAGAGGGAAGGAAGGACAGGAAAGAAGGAAAGAAGGAAAGAGACAGAAAATGGAACCAAAGAGCAAAGGAAGTGAGAAAAAGAAACAGGTAGAGAAGGAAGGAAGAAGAAGGGAAGGAAGGTGAGAAAAAAGGGAGAGAAAGAGGGAGGGAAGGTTGACCACAGCAACGTGTAGCGGGTACAGCTAGTATATATACAGCATCCTTACTTTGCGGATTTTCACTTTTCGCGGGTGGTCCTGGGACGTAACTCCCGCGATAAGTGCGGGAACACTGTATTTCCATTTTCAACATGGCTCATGAATGGAAAGGGAGGAATTTGTGGATGTAAAGAAGGTTTCTCGCTTTCCTCCTTGACCTTTTGCTTCTTTCTTGACCAGGTAAATGAGGATTCTATGGAGCCAGCCCTTGGAGGGGAGAAACCTTTTCCATGCCTGGAGTGTGGGCAGAGCTTCACTCGGAGTGGAGATCTTCATAGACATCAAAGGATTCACATGGGGGAGAAACCCTACACATGCCAGGAGTGTGGAAAGAGCTTCACCCAGAGTACCAGTCTGCGTTCCCATCAAAGGACTCACACTGGGGAGAAACCCTATAAATGCCTAGAGTGTGGAAAGGGGTTTGTTGATAGTTCGGGTCTACGTTCGCATCAAAAGACGCACACTGGGGAGAAACCCTATACCTGCCTGGAGTGTGGAAAGAGCTTCACTCATAGTTCAGGTCTACGTTCACATCAAAGGATTCACACTGGGGAGAAACCCTATACATGCCCAGAGTGTGGAAAGAGCTTCTCTCAGCTTTCAAATCTACGTTCACATCAAAGGATTCACACGGGGAAGAAACCCTATACATGCCCAGAGTGTGGGCAGAGCTTCGCTCGGAGTAAAGGTCTACGTTTACATCAAAGGACTCACACTGGGGAGAAACCTTACACATGCGTGCAGTGTGGAAAGGGCTTTGTTCATAGTTCAGGTCTTCGTTCACATCAAAGGACTCACCCTGAGGAGAAACCGTATACATGCGTGGAGTGTGGAAAGGGCTTCAGTTATAGTTCACGTCTACGTTCACATCAAAGGACTCACACTGGGGAGAAACCCTATAAATGCCTGGAGTGTGGGAAGAGCTTCACCGAGAATGGAAGTCTACATGCACATCAAAGGACCCACAGTGGGGAGAAACCCTATATATGCCTGGAGTGTGGGAAGAGCTTCACCGAGAATGGAAATCTTCACAGACATCAAAGGATGCATACTGGGGAGAAACCGTATACATGCGTGGAGTGTGGACAGAACTTCTCTCATAGTTCAGGTCTACATTCCCATCAAAGGACTCACACTAGAGAGAAACCCTATCCATGCCTAGAGTGTGGGCAGAGCTTCAGTCATAGTTCAGGTCTACGTTCCCATCAAAGGACTCATACCGGGGAGAAACCCTATAAATGCCTGGAGTGTGGGAAGAGCTTCATTCAGAGTACCGGTCTACGTTCACATCAAAGGATTCACACTGGGGAGAAGCCCTATACATGCCCGGAGTGTGGGCAGAGCTTCACTCACAGTTCAGGTCTACGTTCACATCAAAGGACCCACACGGGGGAGAAACCCTATAGGTGCCTGGAGTGTGGACAAAGTTTCGCTGAGAATGGAAATCTACGTAGACATCAAAGACTTCACACTGGGGAGAAACCCTATAAATGCCTGGAGTGTGGACAGAGCTACACTCATCGTTCAAATCTACATTCACATCAAAAGACTCACACTGGGGAGAAACCCAATATACGCAAGGTGTGTGCAGAGAGCACCTCTGAGAGTTCAAATGTACATAGACATGGAATTCACATTGGAGACAATAGTGGTGTTTGACCCCGGAGAGACTCCCAAGGTAGAGCTTTCCAAACTTGTCATGTTGGTGACACACTTTTTAGACATGCATCCTTTTGTGACACTGTAATTCAGTTTAACAATCAAAGCGAAGCTTAAACCATATACTGTATAAACAATTCTTGTGTAGTTTCCCTTATGGCTGCTCCATGTTGGTTCATCACAAACATCATTGTCAACGGACCTCACAACCTGTCATAGAGAATGCTTCTGGAACTTGGCCATACAGACCGAAAAGCTTACAACAAGCCAGGATTGTATTTTCCTAATCAGAAATGTATCCATTTATGTGGTAATTACTGTAACTCAGCTTACAAATTGTGCAGATAACAAGGGATGCCATTTGGAGGTCTCTTTCCCGTGGAAGTGGGGGGAGCCATTTTTCATGCAATGCACCTGTGGACTACAACTGACGCACTTTTGTGTCATGCCACGCCGTTTGGAAAGCTCTGCTCTATGACGTATAAACAGATTAAAAATGCCTGCATTCGCCACAGATACAAGCGAAAAGTTGGGAGAGAATGCTCGTTAATGCTGAAAAGTGAGAGCACAATGCTGAGATATTGTTATGATATTACGCCGCCTTTGCAGAAAGGCCCAGAAATATTGTGTTTGTCCACTAAGGAGCGGATAGAAGTTGGGGCCGATCTATACAGCAGGTTTCAGCAGGAAACTTTAGAACTGTCTTTTTAGGGATGGTGGGAAGAAGAAAATAAACACTTGTCTCCAGCGTTTTATTGTTGTTGTAACGATGCCACCAATTTGTGACGAGTTTGTAAAGGAGCCACCACTTTGTAAGGGTTTATTAACTTGATAGCATAGCTAATAGCTGGTGATATTGACTTGGTCTTTCTTTAATGTGTAGCGTGACTTAACTTGGAAAGGAATTGTAACGGAGACCGGGCTTTAAAGAAAAACAGTAACAAGTTTATTAAAATGTAGAAGGAGTGTGATGGTTTCAATGTTACTTAACTCTTAGAGGCACATATCTTCAAAGGTTACATTTATAACATTTCTTAAACAACTCTGGAAGGGACTCTTCCTTCCACTAAACAGGTTTCAAACTTATTTTTCTTCAAACTGTGTTTCTTTCTGTGACGATGTGTAAATTTTATTCCTTTGGTTATGTGTAATTTAAACAGTAGTTTATGGATGGTAAGTATGAAGGAATATATTTTGTTGGATATGGTGGCTTGGCGTTAGCTGGGTTGCCATAGCAACAGGGGTGGAGCCAACTGCCTCTTCATGGGGCAGCTGTTTTTGAAAGTCAGTCAGTAAGCCGGTGAGCTACTGGGTAGACTGAGTCTCTGGGTGGAGATTCAGGGAATATGTCTGTAGCCGGTGTGCTATAGGGAAGACTGAGTCTCTGGGTGGAGATTCAGGGAATGTGTCTGTAGCCAGTGGGCTATAGGGAATTCTGTTAAATAAGCCTTTTAGCTTATTTGTTATATTAGGACAGTTGTCCAGAAGGGTTACATCTGCTTATAGAAACTTCTTGAAGACTGTGCCTGAGATTACTCATGAAACATTACTAATGTAACCAATCAAGATTTGTGCCTCTTGTGAAGAAACAGTTAAACATGTTATACTCCTGTTAAAATAAACTTGTTACTGTTTTCCTCAAGCCTTGCCTGATACAGTTTCTCCTAAGTTGAACAGCCTGCATAAGTAAAGTCAAGCCAGGGACAGTAAATGCTACGCTATCAAATGAATAAAGCCTTCTGTAATTAATAGTCCCTTTATAAAATAGCTCTTAAGCTGATATTGATCGTTGCCCAGCTTCCCTCGCAGATTAGGTGGCAGTAAGTTCAACCACGCTCTTTCACAATTGGTGGCATTCGGTGGCATTAAAACGGTCTCCTTTACACTTTCCTTAATAGATTGCTTCAGTTACAAGCTTATTCTTTCTTTGTGATGTTTCTGTTGCAATAGAGATCTTCACTGGGTTTCTCTCACCCCTTCTCTCATACACTAACTAGTAGTATAAATAAGTTAACTCGACTTATTTAAACTACACAGGCTAAAAGCCAAAACCTTCTTGGTACTGACTACTACAGAACCAGCCACTCCTACAGTTCACAGACTGTAGACTAACTTACTGGTTCTCAACACAAACTAGAACCAGCCTCTCCTGTGGTTCACTGACTACAGACTGACTGTTTTAAAATGGCTGCCCTGCCAAGTGGCAGTTGGCTCCGCCCTTGTTTCCATAGTAACCGAGCTCAACATGAGCTGAACTGGCCACCAAACCCCTTAGTTATGCAACTTTAAATACTTACCCTTTAAACATCTATCTATAATTATACATAACTGCAAGTTAAAAATTTACACTTCACCACAGTTGTGAACTTGATTTTAACTCTAAGATCTTCCAGAGTTTGACGGACAGGATGCTGCAAGGACACATGAACCGGCCATAAAAGTCACTTGCCCTGAGGACTGAAAAGGTGGGCTGTGGTGTGTGGGAAAGGGCACGCACCTGTCGACTACATTTGACACACTTTTGTGTCACGCCACGCCATTTGGAAAGCTCTGATCTAAGACGTATAAAAGCAATGCTCGTTCATGCTGAAAAGTGAGCGCACAACGTTGGGATATTGTTATCATATTACGCCGCCTTTGCAGAAAGACCCAGAAATATTGTGTTTGTCCACTAAGGAGCGGATGGAAGTTGGAGCTGATATATACAGCAGGTTTCAGCAGAAAACTTTAGAACTGTCTTTTTAGGGGTTGTGGGTGTTGGGGTTCAGCCTGATCCTGATCTGTGTGAACAGGATTCTCTGATAGTTTTTCCAACTGAGCAAGCTCTCCCTGACGCTGACAGTGTGGAATCTGTTGTTGATGCAGAGGTCAGTGGGAATGAAAACGAAACCCAACAGTTAGAAGAGAATGTTTTGGAAGTTAGCTGTGATATCTGCCCACCTGGGGTTGATAATGAGGACCGAAGAGAACAGATAGTGAGAGATAGATTTGTTTCCCAGTCTGTACGAAGGTCACAGCGTCTTCAGCAGAAAGAGGCCCAGACAGAAAAGTCAAGGGGCGTTTCTAAGAATAGCTTCTTTGGTTTAAGAGCGTCCCTGCCGGGTGCTTCTTTAGGTCAAGCAACGTTCGGGACTGTGGCTGGTCTTGGCAGAATTCCTGTGTTCCATGGCCAGTAATCCCAGAGGCTTCTAGTTTCCAAGTTCATGGTTAGTAAAAGGCTAACAGACTCCTGGTTATTGTTTTGTGGCTTTTGAAGTTTTGCTCAAGTTCAGAGATCCTATTGACTACTGTGTTTTTCTGTGGCTTTTTGACTCTGCATTTACCTTTCTTTTGTAACCAATTTTTCATCAATAAACAAGGATTGCTTTTCCTACAGTCCAGAGTGGTGGATTTAATCTTATGGTCTTGTTTCTTGAACTGGGATGCAACAGTGGGAAGAAGGAAATAAACACTTGTCTCCAGCAACAGAAGGTTTGAATGATTAATGACATTGTAGCTAAGGCCCTATATAGATGATGATGGTGGTGGTGATTATTATTATAGATGGGCAAAGCTCTTGTATTCTGAACAATAAAGTTATCTTCCGTTCCTGTGCATCTTGGCGTATTCTTTCAAGAGAAGACTAAACTCATAGCAACACAGCCAGAGCAAAGAAGCCTTACCATTGTTTACCCTCAGGGATGGGAAAACGTGGTTATCCCACTCAAGAAGATGACTGATGAAGATCCACAAATTATCACTGATGGACTTTTAGCAGCTTCAAGAAAGATTGGGACTTTGTTATCGCTTTTTCAAAATAAGAAGAGGGGCAAAAGTCCGTTGTTGTATTTGTGAGTTAGAAGAGTGTTGCCAAAAGCAGAAGTGTGCTGACATAGGATTCTCCAAGGAGAGGAGAATAAATAATAAGGGATACAAGCATCTCAGCATCATCAACATCAGCCCTGGCTTTGTCTTACTCAACCGCCGAGTATGCCTGCCCTATTTGGCATAAGTCTGCCCACACAAAGCAGGTGAACATAACATTGAAAGAAACATGTGGAATAATCACAGGATGTCTTAAACCTACACCAGTTGGTAAACGTAATGGCAGTGCATAGGGTACAGACCCAAAATTAGTAAGAACATCAGCCCTGGCCTTATCTTACTCAACTGCTGAGTATGCCTGCCCTGTTTGGTATAGGTCTGCCCATGCAAAGCAGGTGAACACAGCACTGAGTGAAACATGCAGAATAATCACAGGGTGTCTTAAACCTACACCTGTTGATAAACTCTACAAGCGAGCTGGCAAAGCCCTTCCTGATGTGTGATGGGAAGTTGCTGCTAAATGTGAGAGAAATAAGGCTGAACTGTGTGAAAGCCCCCCAGTACATGGGTACCAGCCTCCTCCCAGTAGACTCCAGTCAAGGAAAAGCTTTATGGAAACTTACACTCCATGCAAAGCAGATGAACATAGCATTGAAGGAAACATGCAGAATAATCACAGGATGTCTTAAACCTACACCTGTTGATAAACTCTACAAGCGAGCTGGCATTGACCCCCTCCCCCACCCCTGATGTGCGACGGGAAGTTGCTGCTAAATGTGAGAGAAATAAGGTTGAACCCTGTGAAAGCCCCCCACTACATGGCTATCAGCCTCCTCCCAGTAGAGTCCAGTCAGGGGAAAGCTTAATGGGGACCACCACTCCTCTTGGTGTCCCCCCAGCAACAAGGGCATCCCTCTGGGCAGCTCAACCAGGAAATCCCAACTGGATGGCCCCCCACGAGGGAGGGTCTTCCTCCAGGGGCAAACCAAGAATGGGTAATGTGGAAGTCCCTGAACAGACTCAGAAGTGGAGTGGGCAGATCAAAAGACAACCTGGCCAAATGGCAGAATCCCACACCTTGTGGCTGGTCATTTGTGTAGATGTTGAACATGGATGGAGCGAGCACGCTCCCCTGAGGCAGGCCGTTCTTCTGTTTCCGCCATCTGCTTCTCTGACCCTGGAACTCAACAGAAAAGCTGTTTTGTAGCAGGTTTCCTATGAGGCGGGTGAGTTGGTAGCCCTTTGTGATATTATATATGTATGGTTAGGGATCAGCTGGTTTTCCCTGTAATAGGCAGTAAGCGCACCTAGAGCTTCGGAGAGCTTCTGTTCAGGGGACAGGGGACAGGAAAGGGCCTGGAGGGCCAAAGTTTGCCCATGCCTGCATTTGCCACAGATGCAAGCGAAAAGTCAGGATAGAATGCTACTGGAACATGGCCATACAGCCCGAAAACTCGCTCTTTCTGTTTCTGAAGAAGACGAGAAAAGCAGGCATGGCGGCTCATCATCGAACCGCTTCCTCAGAGTAAAGAGCTTTTATTTGCTGATAAAACGACATGAAAAGGGCGCAAAGGAGGGGAAAAAGTTTGCGGAACCCCCTCCCCGCCGGCCTTTAAAAGTAGTAGATTAAAACGTTGCCCGGCGCGAAATATGCGCAGGCGTCCCATGTGCTCCCAGGGCCAGCCCTGTCCCTTGCCCGCAAAGGAGGCGGAGGAAGAGGCTCTTTCCCAAGGCAAGGAGCGGGAGGCGCGGGATGCGTCCGTATCCATGCGATGCTGCTTCTTCTTCTTCCTTGGTTTCTTCCGTTATGTGTCAGGATCGTCACACCGGGATTGGCCTCAGTTTCCCTGAGAAAACAAGACGGAGAAGAGAGGAGTTTGCGATGGCGACGAGTCGATTGTCCCGTTACCGCCACCGTGTAACCATGCATGCAGAACAGCTTTGCTTCCAAACACACTTGCTGCGCATAACTGAGCCACAACTCTCTTGAGTTTTTCAAGAGTGAAATACTCAAGGCGCAATTGCAAACAGTACCAACAAAGAGAAAAAAATAGGACAAGTGCAAAGAAGCCAGAATAGATGTCCAAAGAACTTCTAACTGTGCTAAGACTCAAAAGAGACATGCACAAGAAGTGGAAAAAGGGAGAAATCACCAAAGAAGAATTCAAACAGGTCCGCAAGGCTAAAGTACAAAATGAGCTCCGGAGTGTGGTGGAGGCTCCTTCTTTGGAGGCTTTTAAACAGGCTGGATGGCCATCTGTCAGGGGTGCTTTGAATGCAAAGTTCCTGCTTCTTGGCAGGGGGTTGGACTAGATGACCCATGAGGTCTCTTCCAACTCTATGATTCTATGGTTCTATGAAAGGCCCAAAGGAAGCATTGGAGCAGCCCAATACAAAGGCTTTCCCACTCTCTGGAGCAGTGCTTCCCAACCTTTTTTTTTTTTTTGACCAGGGACTACTCTCCAAAATTAGTACCAAAAGGGTTACGAATCAGTTTTTGGTCAACTTTAGATTCGGTTTGGTTAATTGGGGTACTGATTGATTCAGAAAACTGCATTGGATAGACTACATCAGCTCTAGTTTCTGATACACAACAAATACCACCCAGTAGTCGCTGGATAACATGATACCAATAATAATGTGATTATAATAATAATACATACTAATAATAATAGATACAAAGCCGCTTTGAGTCTCCTTTGTGGAGGGAAAAAGTGGGGTATAAATATCGTATTATTAGTATTAAATTGTATTACATTGTAATATTATAAATACATGTACATACAATATATTATATTATTAGCATAGTACAATATCAGTATTAAATATTGCTATATTGCACTATACCATTATACTCTAATATTATTAGTAATATTACATGTAATATAAATATATAGTTATAATATCATATTATTAATAGTAGTAGAATATTGCATTACATTCTAATATTATAAATATATGTACATACAATATATTATGTAACATTATAATATAATATAATAAATAGAAATAATAATAATAAGGTGGTGGTGGTGATGGTGGTGGTGATGATGATGATGATGATGATGATACATTCCAATACTAATAATAGATACATAGCTGCTTTGAGTCTCCTTTGTGGAGAGAAAAAGTGTAATATAAATATATAATTATAATATATTGTCACAGCACCTGAAATATTTAATTCTGTTTTAATGTTTGTAGATTTGGAATAGTATCAAAATGCACTGAAGGAAAGCTGCTTTGAGTCTCCTTTGCAGAAAGAAACAGCAGGATATCTATAAACATGACAACAACCCCAACAACAACATGTAACAACATTTGATTATATTATTATTATATTATATTATATTATTAATAATATAATAATATTATATTATATTAGTATATTATTATTATATTATATATTATATTATATTATATATTATATTATATTATATTATTATATTATATTATTATATTATATTATATATTATATTATATTATATATTATTATATTTATATTATATATATATTATATTATTAATTATAATATTAATATATTAATAATATATATATATTATAATTATAATATATAATATTAATATGTATAATATTATATTATATTATATTATTATTAATTATATTATTATTATATTATATTATTATTATATTAGTATATTATTATTATATTAGTTATATTAGTAGTAGTAGTATTATATTGCATTACATTATAATATTGTAAATATATGTACATACAATATAGTATATAACATAATATAATATATAATATAATAATAGACATAATAATAATATTATATTATATTATTATATTATTATATATATTATATTATATTATTATTATAATATTATATATATTATATATTATTGGAGCGCCTTTATTATATTATATTAGTATATTATATTATTATATTATATTAGTATATTATTATTATATTAGTATATTATTATTATATTAGTTATATTAGTAGTAGTAGTATTATATTGCATTACATTATAATATTGTAAATATATGTACATACAATATAGTATATAACATAATATAATATATAATATAATAATAGA